TTCAAGACATCAGTTTTTCAGTATAATCCCTGCACCTCTGGGGAGCTTTTTATTCATTTCATGAAATATCCCAATATTCACCTTGATGCCTGGTAGACCCTCATACAAAGTGTGCAACAAGATGCTTTTTAATGGCATCAAAAAGGCATCAATGTGTGAGCACAGTAGGAAAAACCAAAGAAACTCCTGCTGCTCAGCAATTGCCATGACAGAGCTGATGCCTCTTTTAACATTTCTCTGCAGAACTGCCAAGTTTTTAGCTGAAGTGTAGGTTATGTCTTGCCACGCAGACCTCAGCAAGGCATGGCAGTAATTTTTGGTTTCCCTTCAAATGTTTCTACTGAACAATTTCATGATATCACTTGCTTCAGTTTGCCAAGAGTTAGATGAGGGAGAGAGACCCAAAGGACAAAAAAACCCAGTGATTATGGATGTCGGGATGGGAACAGTTCTTTAGCATTCTCTGGTTTTCCATTTCTTACACAAATTTACTGCACTTGAGTGCAAAAGTGGCCTCAACAAGTAAGAAGCAGTAAGCAATGTGAGTTATGAATACTATCTCTGGTCTTGATAAACTCAAGAATTTTGCACAGGTTACTTAACTTTTCTTCCCCAATTTCCCCAGGTAGAAATTGGAAGTATTTACTCCCATTCTTTTTTTTTGATGTAGCCATCTAAATGCAAGTTCTCTGGTAGAAAGACTCTCTGCAACATCTTGGACAATGGGAACATCACCTTAATTGTAAGGCTTAATCCAAGGCTGTGCAAGTCTAACCTCTCTTAGCACGACTTAGTCTATGACTGTTATTATAACCACATAATAAATACATTTAAAATACCTACAAATACTAATGAGAAACTAAATCCCACAGGTTTAAACAACAAGCCAAATGAAAAGTCAATTAAATTTCTAAAACCTACGTTTTAATATTGCCACGTGGAAGTCACAGGGCAGGTGAGCACATCTGAAATAGATGCAAAACACCAGTGGACAGAAGCAGGAGAGGCAGAGCCAGCAGACTGGAACTTCAGCATTCCTAAGTGATTAATAGTGACCATGAAGATTAAAGTGACCTCGTTGCTCAAATGGAAACAAGGACAGAAAACACAGGGCATTTGAAAGCCAACACCTCCCTGTGAGCAACAGCAGCCATTAAAGATTTAAATGATCCCTGCATCTCATTGAAGTTTGTCCTCTATGTGGAATTTTTCACATTTGAAAAATAAACTGTTGAAGAATAAGAAAATGCTCAGGTAGAGTATTATCAGCTAGACTAATACTATGTAATTATGAAGTATAATTATTATACTGATCTCATCAGCTTCTATTTTCAGCTACAACCAGGTCTTTTAAGTTGAAACCATTCACTCCCTGGAGCTGTGTTACAGTATATCCACTGATCTCTCAGCTGGGATTTATTCCAGCTTTCCACCCATCTCACTATCCTTCACATTATCATTTCTGAAATCTAAGCACACTGTGATCCCCAAAGCAAGCACAGATTTTTCAAGCACAAAAGAACCTAATTACTGCTCTCAAGCACCAATTCAATTTATGCAGGCATTCAATCCTCAGGTTAGTAAAAGATGGGAGCAGATGGCCCACAATGATGAAATAGTGGGTATTCAAAGATGAAATTACAGACAACTTTCTTTGCTATACCACCACTTAATCCAAGGCTAAGGAAAGTGTAAAGCAATGTGATAAACTGCTGAATAAACAGGCTTTTAGGTTGTCCACTACAGCCAAGATGAACCTGTCCAACAAGCAAATACTCTGCACCTATAATCAAAGGGATCTCAAACACACTCAGCACTGATAAAATACAGAACAAAAAAAACCCAACCTCAACCCACCCACAAGAGGGTTGGGACATGCTGACTGTGTAACTTCTGGGTCATTTTTGTCCAAGATAGAGATCATTTTCCCTCCCTTAACAGCTCTCCAACCCCAGCTCAAACAATTCCATGCCCCAGTTTCCCAGCTTGGCTGGGCTGGGCTCAGCCCACCCTGCTGATCATGCCAAGCCACACAAGGAGCCCATCAGAAGAACCCTCCCTGGCTACAAATTAGATTGTCTTGAGTCCAAGAGCCATGTCTTCTCAAGGCTCTCTCCTGTTGCTGGGCACCAGTGCGTTTCTCACAGCGTTGCGTATTTTTGAGCTGACTGCTCCCAGGGGAGAGCTGGGACCTTTCCTCCTTCACAAGAAGGGGTGACTGTCACCTCCAGCGTTACTCCCCCACGGCAACACCAGAACCAGCTCGGGGAGCACACAGGGAAGCTGAGCTGGGAGCCATTGCTGTTCCCACCTGGATGGGTAGCTCCAAAGGCTCACAGACTGCCCACAGTCAAGTCCATCCCAACAAGCTCAGTGGAGCCAGGACAGAGACCGGAGCGCTTTCCACTGACATTCCCACCACTAAGTCATCAGTACAACCCTGGGATGACCTGGAATGACCTACGATCCTCCAAGACAAGGACAGCTGGGGTTAAGACAGGCCAGGGACCAGCCTAGGAGGCAGTTCAAATGCAGCTTCCCGATTCCTGTAGAGGGAAGTAAGAAAGGAAGGAAGGGTTTAACTGAAAGGCCATGGGTCACTATGTGCCAGCTGGCCCCAGGCCAAATGTCCTGCTCAACTCATTAGTAGCCAGCAAGTTCTTCCGAGGTTGCTCACCACGACAGCTACTGTCTTCAGAATTAAGTCCAGAATTAAGACCAAAGGGAAGAAGGGAGCACAAGGCTGCCCCAGTGTACATATTTTGCTCAGTATCAGGATAACAAAGGTTGAGATTAATTGATACAGACTGCACAAAGAAAATTCAATGCCTGCTTCAAACTCATTATCCCTTAACCCATCTTTACTGTCACTCACAAAACTTGCCCCTAGAAATCCGTCTGAGGAATCCACTGTTGAATTTCAGCCCTCAAGCTATGCAAAGAGAGCATATGGGAGATGATATATGCTTTTAATTTTCATTCTTAAGACCTACATTTGGGCATTTTAAAATGCTGACTTCACTCAAGAGAATTTTGAAGTAGAATATAAGTGGCAATGGAGGAATGTGAGTCCTTGACAAACACCACTTCCCTGCCCTTCTCACCAAGCTATCCCAGGGACACAGGTAAATCCTGGAATTCATCTGTTGAAAGGACTCTGTCTGAAACACAAGATGCTTCCAGAAATGGACCGTATGGTTTTGTTTGTTCCCAGGAGACTTGACAGATACCATATGTGAGCTTCCTCTGGGTGGGTACTTTGTGTCCTCAACATCTCCAGCTCTGAAAAGTCTTATGGGGGAGCTGAAGTGAACTGGACTAAAACTCTCCAAGGAATCACTGCCACCCTATAGGTACCTCTCACTCTCTGTGGCAACTCAGAGCATCCTCAGAACTTCCTTTCCAGTGGCTGTGGCATTTTAGTCACTCATTTTATTAAGCCTGACATTTTCAACTGCAGATTTTCCAGTTTAACCATGCCTTGTTTCTGTATGCAATCCCCTTAAAAAGAGAGTGATGTTCTTATAAGAATCTTAGCATATTTTAAGTTACCTTAAAATAAGTCCCCATGAATACTTTCACACAACGCTGCAGAGTCCTTAAGTTTAGCAAGGATGATGCAAGTAATTTACAAAAACAGTTGTAGGGCCAACCAATTATCTACAGGACTTAAAAAAGAAAAAGCCCCAAACTTATTTTACACTTGTACAGTGAGAAAGGCACGTCAGGATCCACTCTGCTTTGGTGATCAGGAATGCATTTACAACTCCCACAAGGTTTTATAAACACTGAGCTTAGTTGAATCACAGGCCATATGGGGTCTGATAATATCTGTTCTTATACACATCTGCTACAATGAAATCCAAACTGGCAAAATTCCCACTGATACAAACAAATGCAGAGTCATGGATCCACACTCATCTGAGCGTGGATTTACCCACTGCCCCACAGCAGCTTGTAATTCCACAGTAATTCTACTTGTAATTCACAAGTGTGGCACCCCAAATCTGGGCTGACAGCACAGTTTTCTTTGTGCATCTTCAATCCAAAAGGATAAAAAAAAAGGTAAAAGAGAGCCGTGCACTGGTTATACCAGGCACTGATGTTCTGCAGAGCCCTGTACCTGAACACAATCCCAGCCACGTTCCTGAAGCACACACAGAAGCATCTGTTTAATGACACTTCAGTGACGTGACGGGGGGGAGGTCCTCCCCACACCCCTTTATACAAAGTAAAATTAAACTTTATTGACTTTTTAAGCTAACAGGAGCCTCCCCACAGACTTCAGTGAACTTTGGATCAGGCCCTATAGCACCATTTCTTATTTTACACCATTACCACGCTTCAAAAGAAAACCTGTTTTGAGGCTTCCAAGCAACTCCTGTTCCTCCCAACACTTATTTTAAAAGATTATTTTTTTCTTTGTCCCCTTGCAAAGGCAGATTGACCAGTTCCCAGATTGCTCTAATTCCTCCATCCCGACCCCCCCATTTGACCACCACAGCTGCCCCCATGCTGCGATTTCTGAATACATCTTTGAATCCATCTTCCAGCCTACAGCCTGGCAACAATGCTCCTTTCAATGCCCACCGGCACCTACCCAGCCCGCCTGCTCTCCAGCCCTGGCACAACCCACCCAGCTCCCCACAAAGCCCGGGATTTACCAGCCGGGAGCCAGCCCCACGCTCCCAGACGGAGTTCTCCCCGTCTGTGGATTTGGACACATGCTCGGGCAGTGAATGTTCCCAGGCTCCAGGCCAGCTTTGCTGGGATAACTCATCTCCCTCCGGGCTCACGGCAAAGCCCTCCCGGCTCCTGCAGGAGCCACGGAACCCCGGGACGGGGTGGGCGAGCTCTCCCCAGGTGCCAAAGCCCGGCTCCCGCGGCGGGAGCTGCGGCTGCCCCTCCGAGCCGAGATGCCCCGGCCCCGCTACCTGCGCTCCCCGCCGGGGTGGGACCCCGGGCAGGGCCCCGCACACCGCCCCCCCCCCGGCCCTTACCAGAGCGCGATGCGGCTCTTGGGGTAGCTGAGCCTCTCGATGCAGCCCAGGACGTGCGGCAGCGTGTGCGCGGCGTTGCGGGCGAGGATGGCGAGCAGCACCGTGGGCTGCTGCAGAGCCGACTCGGGCAGCGCCGGGGGCTCGGGGCTCGGCGGCTCCGGCGGCTCCGGGGGGGACGGGCTGGCCCCGCAGCCGCCCAGCAGCGGCGGGAGGAGGAGGAGGAAGAGGAGGCGGAGAAGGAGCGGGGGGCGCCCGGCGCTCGCAGCCATGATGGGCGCGGGGCGGCCGCGGGAGCCGCGCCGGCTGTGCGGGGCGGCCGCGCCGCGGGGGGGAAACGGGACGGGGAGGAGGGAGACAGGACAAGGGAGGAGGCGGGAGAGGGAGGAGGTTGAGAGGGAGAAGGAGGAGCGGAGCAGCGCCGCCTGCCCGCCCGGCCGGCCCGAGCCCGGCTCTCCGCACCTCCCCCGGCCCCGCCCCGGCCCCGCGGGGCCGCCCCGGCGCAGGTGGGAGCGCAGGTGGGATCCCCGCGTCCCCCGGGAGGCTGAGGTCAGCACCCGCCTTTGGTCCCGGCGAAAGTCGCAACCCCCGCGTTTCTCGCCCGAGTTTTGGGTTTGAAAGAGGCGTTCGGCGGTTCCCTCCCAGCGCGGGTGCTAACGCGAAGACATCCCTTAGTTCGCTGCTTCTGTGAAGATCTAACCCTCGTCATTCCCACGCAGATAGAGAATGAAGGCTAGTTGTGCTTTTATATCGAAGAGGTTTTGTCAAACATCCCCGGGATGTCTGTGTGAAGCAGCTGCACACCCCACGCCCATCCCACGCTGCACAGTGCTGTTGTCCCAGCTGGAACGTGGCTGGAAAATTAATATCATGGAGTCGTAGAGTGGCTTGGGTTGAAAGGGACCTTAAAGCTCGTGCAGTTCCACCACCCTGCCATGGGCAGGGACACCTTCCACTAGCCCAGGTTGCTCCTACCTGGCCTTGGGCACTTCCAGGGATGTGGCAGCCACAGCTTCTCTGGGCAACCTGTGCCGGGGCCTCCCCTCACTCACAGGGAAGAATTGCTTCCCAATATCCCATCTAAACCTACCCTGGTTCAGTTTAAAGATGTTTCCCTTGTCCTGTCACTATCTGCCCACTTAAAAAGTCACTCTCTCTTTTTTTATAAGCCCTGCTCAAGTACTGGAAGGGTCTTTAAGGTCTGCCTGGAGCTTTCTCCTCTCCAGGTAGAACAACCCCAGATCTCAGCACCTCTCCTCCAAAGAAAGGGAATACAAGGAGAATATTCCCTGTATTTCGTTGACTCTTCTGCCGTGGAAACATTTGTATGAATGGACCAACGACAATTTACCATCAAAATAAATAAAGCATGTTCCAGCAATTAAAATTATTGGGTCATGATCTTAAAAGGGGCATAGTAATCACAGCTCTCTTAGAAGTTAATAGGATTTGGGCATGCTAAACCCTTTTCAAGATGAAATCTCTAATTAACTCTAAGGGCCCCATCGTGGCATATTTGGGTTTTAATGTGGGTAAGTGGTTTCTCCAACGCAGACAGATCCACTTTAAGCAGGCAGCACTCTTGGCCGTGTGCTTGCAAAACTCAAATATAAGGAAACATTTAACAAGCAAACAATTGTCTAATTATCTATAATGTCACTGTGAATTGCTTGCAGCCCAGGTAGTATATATATAAATATATATATATATACACACACATTTATATTACAGAAGAGAGAGAGAGCAAATTCATGTCTGCTATTCTTTGTTTATAGAACTTAATTTATCACCCACACCAAATTATAGTCTCAGTTTCCTGATCAGATGACTCCCCAAAAAACTAATGCAAAAACATCCTAGGAAACTTCCATAAAGAATCTCCAAAGGTCACAGAATCATCTGCACTAAAATTCGAGAAACTCCCTCAATTTGTAAGCATCTTCCTGAACAATTACTGCAAATATATTCCTCCTGTTTGCCCTTCACGACACCTTTATAATTGTCCTTCTAGAATGATACATTAATGAGGCTTTTCTTTCATGGTTAGTTTGCCACATGTTGCTTTTATGCTTGGATTCATTAACCAAATAGAAGGAACAGCTTTGTAGCCTGTGTGAAGTGATTAGGGTTTCACAGGAGCCAGCTGAATCCACACACACAGAATTCTGCTGTTGCCCACAGGGCTGCTCCAGTTTGGAGGATGGGGGCTAATGCTACTGAATTATACTTGGTGTGGAGGGATGTAACCTGGCATTTTCCATCCACTGCATATTCAAGCTGGGTCACAATCCCGATTTTAGGAGACTTCAGGAGAAATATGCATCTCCCGTGACTCCCCTTGGCCAGGCCTCCCCTGTGGATGTGGCATGACAACACGGGTGCTTCTCGTGGGAGGAAATGCAGGATCAGGATCAGGGCCAAGCAGAGATTATTTCCCCCCAGAAAAAAAGGAAGATCTGGAAGGAAGCAACTGCAAAGCCTTTGTTCTACCTGCAAAGTGTAAAGGTGCAATCCACTTTGGTGGTGTTGCAGTCAGTGTTTGCAGACTGTGCTTTTTAGCCTGTGCAGCTCTCAATGTCTTCAGTGAAATCGAAAGTACTTTCAGTTCTCTTCACACTTCTCCTTTATTTTCTATTTTGAGAACAGCATCAGGGCCATAACAATTTGCTGAGGGCAAATGCAATGCCTCCAGCAGCATCCTAAAACCGGTAATTTGCTCCTCAAAGTGACATTCCCCTCACTCACACCACTGACAGTGCTCGCTGGCTCCTGTGGCACACAAAAGAGAGAGAGCAGCAGATGCCTGAAACATGAGATGTTCTTCCATGCATAAGAGAAAGGAGTCAACTCAGCTCAGTCTCTCACTCCCAGCCACACAGCATGGGGGAAAGATTGGAGAGTTCAGGTAAACAGTTACCCTGACAATTCATGTCATTCCAACATCTATAAATGCATGTTACTTTATGTGCATATACAAAGAAATCTGCGCACGTCCTGACCTCTTTATTAGTGGCCAAAATTCTATCCTGTTTTTTTTTTAAAGCCCATACTCAATCCTGCTGTGACAGGACAATGAGCCACTGTGTGGTGAAATATTTCAGCTTTGAGGAAGAAGCAGCTTTTTGCAGACCTAAGTCCCACAGAAATTAATTTAAGCCATTTGTTTCAGCCTCCTCTAAACATCCACACCAAACACGAAGGTTCCAGCTGAGAGAACTGTCTCTGGCAGTGGTGTACTCCCTCAGTTTGACAGGTGACAAATTTTCTCTGAGGCAGCTTTCTTCTAATTTAGACTTGTTTCTCACACAGTGGAAAACAGAGGATCTATCCTGCTGATATTTATAGACAAGTCTATTTCCTTTCGTTTACTTCTTCATCTCTGAGGACTCAAATCCATCCAATTATTTTCCCAGCAGTTGAGTAAACGACTGTTGCCAGCTCTTCCATGAAAGTCTCGGAGACTGGATTACTTTTCCTGTCTATTTATTTTATTTATTTTATTTATTTATTTATTTATTTATTTATACTCAGGGAGTTGAAGGGCTAGCTAAAATAGTGGTTTTTAATCAGGCCAACCTCCTCAGAATCGCTTAAGTTTGTGTCCAATATGACTTTCTGCAGTTATAACACACACACCAATTTATGTACTAAATATGTATAGATTAATTTTCATTGATCCTTTATTACAGAATAATCATTAAGCCTATAAAGAAGAAGGGCTAAAGACAGGACAGTTCACTTTTCAGTACGCCCTGCGTCAAACTGATCTTCTCAAGATCATACTTGGTGTTTCCTCGAGTCAGTGCAGATGTTTGACATTTTCCAACCTCAGCCAGATTTTTCTTGGTGTAGCCCAGTGTACAAGCGATGTCTTTGCAGTCTCTCACCTGATGTTACAAACAGCACACAGCTTTTTTTTTGCATGGACACCAGCTTGAGGCTATTCAGAGACAGAGACAGGCCTGACTTCATTCAAACCAGTGTTTGAAATTCATCAAAGAGGCACTAAGGCAGATGGAGCCGGTAAGCCAGACCTGGGACACTTTGCATTAGGCAAAGCAGATTCTCGTTGGAAGTCAGAGATATTTCTAGTAAAGCAGTACAAGATGCTTTTAATAACAATGCCTTGAATCTGTATCCCTTAAGCAGTCTATGAAAGCTTCAGCCACCATATATTAACTAAATATTCTTTCCTTTAACCCTTTAACCCTTCTTCTTCTTTGGCTCAATGATAATCTTATAATAAAGCATCATTGAAAATTAATCCATCTATGTATTTAATACATTAATCGGTGTGTGGGTTGTAACCGCAGGAAGTCACATTGGGGATGACCTTAAGCAATTCCGAGGACGTTGGCTTGTTTAAAAAAAAAAAATTTTAAAAAAAAATCCCTCTTTTAGCCAGCACTTCCATTCCCTGGGCACAAAATAATCAAACAAACAAAGAGATAGGTAAACAAATAAATAAATAAGAAAAAATTAGCCATTAGAAAATGGTATTGGGAAAGGACCCTTTGTGATGAGGAATATACATATATATATATATATATATAAAATTTATAGGACTTAAAGCAGCGCCTTTGGCCTTGGCCGGGGAGGTGAAGGGGGCGCGGAACGAAGTTGGGGCGGAACCATCGGGGCGGCACCGCCGTTTCCGGGGAGCGCTGGGCCGCGCGGCGCCGCCCGGAGCGAAGCCGCGTTGCACAGCCCGGGCAGCGCATGGAGCCCGTGGCCAGTGCGGGCACGGGCGGCGTTTGCCCGGCCCAGGGAGGCGAGGGGGGCACCGACCATGGCCAGGGGGACACCGACCCGGGCCAGGGCACCTCCGCGGGCGGGCGGACCCAGGGCGGCTGGGCGGGGGCGGCCGGAGGCAACTGGATGACGGCTCACCCCACGGTAGGCCGGGGCGGGGGGCGCTCGGTCACTCGGGGGTCCCGGTTTGCTTCCTGGATCCCGACGGGATTCCTCCCTCATGGATCTGAGGGACATCTCGGGCCCCCCCAAGGAGGTGTGCTGCGCCTGGAGATGTCAGTATGACACATATTGGGCGTCCCGAGGGGGTCTCCGGCCTTCGTGGGGTGGTCGGGGAATGCCCCCGATCAGCAGGGGAGGGGGGTATAAATCATGGAAACGCAGTCAGGAAACGTAAATGCCTTTAAATGTTGACTCCATCTTAATTTTTAGCGCACCAAAAACGCGGAGGGGTTTAATTTTGGCCATCACCCTATGTTGATGTGCTATAGCAAAAATAGGTAAAACGATTTACCCAAAAATAGGTAA